TTTACATTCTTTGACCCAACATAATGACTATCAAGAGAATTTATGATCTTATGATCCAAGAAAACCTCTTACTTCTCCACTTTTATTTTAGGAACACAGAAAGGAAAGTAAAGTGCAGTGGATACGCTGTCGTTTAAATCGTTTACACGAAAAAGGTGCAGTACTCGTAAGCAGCATTTGCGAAAATCCCATCAAATCCCACTTATTTCTAAGCTCCGATAGCCAAGAGAAAACGCAGACCAGTCTAATGGGTCTACTTCAACAACCCTATTCCAGATAGTCTCAAAAGGGGCGTGGCGATAGGTGTATAGGTAATTGACACACATTTACGTAGCACTTATTGGCAGCTATCGTTCATCTTGCATACACCTTTTTTTTAAACGGCTGCTAACAAGAGGAGGGAGTCTGACGAACTACGTATGCCGAGGAAGTGGAAGCTAGAGCTAAAACTCTTGTCCTATTTGCTTCCTTAAGATGGAAATTTTTCTGAAAAAATTTAGTACTAAGCTTTTCTCTTCGAAGATTAAGCGCAGTTCTTGCATTTTTTTTGCTTAGAAACTCAGAATTTAACCTCTGATTCTAGTTTTTAGGCTCTCAATCGAAGGCTTGTACTATTTAAGAATGACCTTTGCATCTTCTGTTCAGGAATAAAAACTTTCTTAGTATTCCTTGAAAGCCACTTTGCAGATGTGAAAGTCATAAATGAGACAATTTGTGAACTAGTATGCGTTTTTTTTTTGTTAAGAGGTTAATCAATTGAGTTAGCTCCGCTGCTGACTATGGAGCAAAAAGCTTCATTAATCATGTAAGCACGCATCAGCTCTGCTGTCTTTGATTATAATAAACTTTTTGTAGTTTTTGGCATATTCACAAGGAACATGGCAAACGGCATATTACCAAACGCGTCTTGAAATTCTGGAAATCTGCTTCCCTCATCTGCTAGACAGTTTTCTGAGAAAGGTTATAAAGGTTTCTTTCCGCGAAATACGTTATGTCATTTGTTGCTCGAATGCTAAAAAAAGCCATAAACAATGTGAAAAAGCTCCCTTGTTGATTAGAGTAGTCCTCAAACGCAAAATTGAGTTTCTGCTCGGATGATTCCTCATTTTTTGAATAATTAATTAGCGGTTGTGCGCGCATTTTTTCACAAAAAAAAAACACTTCACAACTTTATTTAGAGTCGCTTAGCAGATGATGCAGATGAAAACAGCGTTTTGAGGCGCATTTAGTGGATTCCTCTTGTTCTATGGCAAAAATCATTAAATGACCTTTTCTTGTTAGCACTCACTTATTGCCTCAGCCACTCAGCTCATATAACTTAGATGCGCAGGAGCTTGAATGTTCATGTATGTAAAGCGAACTATATCACCAAGTACCAAAAATAGCATTAAGCCCAGATTTGACCCAATCAAAAATCAATGTCTTCTAAAAGCCGATTTCTGAAAATCATAGATTGAAATATTTAGAAGTGCTTACCAGGTTGTGCATTAATATCGGGGTGAACTTCCCTGAAGGAGTCGATAAACTTCATATCAGCCATCATTTTCGTTGCCGGCCATGTTACAGACCAGTTTCCATGCTTATCCCTATAACTCTTAAAAATAGTGAACATTGGTTCGTAAAAGAAATGTGATTTTTAAAGATTCTCTCACTTCATTTCAACTGTCCAATCAAGATGTGAGGGGCAGTTGAAATCTCCTGCAACAATCACCGGCACAACACTTGATTTCCTTCTCCATGCTGTCATTCGCGAATTGTTCCTCAATTCTTCAATATTCTGCTCTCGACCTTCAGATATCAATCATTATACGGATCAGCAACAAGTGCTAACTAGAGAATTACCCTGTCTAGCTCGCGGATGTTCACCAGCTAAAATCTGATCAACCGAAGTGACCATCTTATTATAAGCCGCATACGGACCGTAAGCAAGATAGTCCAAATGCATTGACCAGAAGTTGACGAAGTACCATGAATCTACCAATATTCGGATACCCAATCCATGGCCGGTATCAGTGTAGGAATGTGGATGGATCTGTATTCTATACTCCATAACAGATTCTTATTTTATCAAAGTAGTTCTACCTCATGTCGAGTGAGTATAGCAACATCTGGCAAAGTAGTGTTTTGTCGA